CAATGGGGTTCAGATTTCATGAGGAACCTAGAACCATCCGAGTGGAGAAAACAGCATTTTGAGGCCTTTATGAAGCAAAATATGCTTTATTACAAAAGGTTATGAACTGCTACTATTAGCTGTGAGACAATGAAGTAATGTGAAGTTACGATATTGTGTTTCTCTTTTTTGCATGGCAAGACAAATAATTAATAATTATGAGAAAAAGACGTCAAGGAATATCACAAACAAATTTTCAGTTACCAGTTACTCTGAGGAAAAGTTTATGTGGTAGCTAACTTAATGAAGCCAACTGTTGAGGCTGATGCATCTCAGATCATGAGAATCAAAAAAGAAATATAGATGTACTAATGACATCCTTCCTGGAAGTACTTTTGTTCTTTGAGCATGATGGTGATGAATTTGATTTAAATAGAAGATATTTCACTGTCTCTCATTGAATTCTTGCATGATTTCCATCCGTCTTGCTGTTGTCAATGATTTATCAGTTAACTGGAGCACCTGCATTTGGATTACTTTAGGGATCTTTATGAGAAACCTCAACATTTGGATTACTTTAGGGATCTTTATTAGAAACCTCGACATTCAAAGTTCTGCAGTATGCTAGACTCTTAACTATATTGTACTGTTTGATATTTCTACTGAATTCACCCTCTTAATTGTTTCTGGCAATTAAATATCTGTACCTATAGCATTGACATTGGTGATCCTCTTAATATTATGATTAAATGTCTTTTTATTAAATGCAGAATAAGAGCATGAAGCTGGTTGAATGGAGTAGCAAACATTTGGAATCCTAGAAGTTGATGACTACCTTCATTCTCTTGAACAGTGTCTTTGCAAGGGGTCTTGTTATAGAAACTTATATGTTCAGTACTTATAGTTTAGTTTGAAAAAGCAGCTGAGAACTTCTCGTCTCTTTGCTGCTTTCCTGGTATTTTGCAGTGGTTAGTTTCTTTTCTCGAATGTTCTATTGGTGTGATGTACCTGCTCCTCAGGGAGTTGGAAGCACCTTTCTTAATGTTTTTGCACAGGACACTTGGAATTGTTATTTATCCAAAATTTCACCAGCATATAGTTATATCCTTTGGGTTCAGACATAAGCTTCAAAGCTTTGTTATTAATAGTCACTCCTTTTACTTCTCTTCACTAAGTTTGAACCCGGTGATGGCTATTTTTCTGTTTTCTATTCTAGCGGTCCTAACCTTGCTGCCAAATTTGGTGTGGTCCTTCGGATGGTTAATGTCTATGCTAGTTGACGCAGAGTGTTTGTATATGCTACACAATCTTTTGATTAGATTTGAATTACTCCATGGAATTCAGTTGCCAAAGAGTAACAATGCTTCAAATGGTATCTGTTAGATCAGATCTAAGGTTTGTTTCAGATTTCTCTTTTGAAGTTAATGAGTGAATGCTGCTGGCTGTGTCCTTTCGACAGCATTAGGTAAATCCTTGTTAAATTTACATAATACAGGAGATATGTGATGTACATATATGATGTTTTTCTTGACAATGTCCAATTTTCTTCTGGGAAAAAGCCAATGAAGGGTACATCACTTATTTGTTTCTTACAATATGAATACTGAAGATAGTTGATATACAAACAGCCATCTGGCCAACTTTGTGTACACAATAATGAATAAATACAATGACACAATTGTTAAAACAAAAAAAGAAAAGGAAACAACAGTCTCAATCAATAAATTTCACACGATACGATTTATCTTCGAAGCTCATTTATCTCCTTGATGAAGCACCATGAATGGCAGCTATGTATACCAGTTGAGTAAATGATAGAATTATCATGAATGCCTCCATTGTTTTCTGCAAAAAATTGTGCAGGAGTTAATGTCAATAGTTCTTTGAAATTTGCATATTTGTATACAGATGAAGGGTGCTATACCAATTTGGAATTCCTGTAGTTGAGTTCAATTTCTTTCCAAGCAAAGCTGCATGGATGACAATTTCATTACTTATACTGATATGTAGAAGAGTACATTAAAAAAGAATAAATAGCACAACGCGTCAAGAGATAAATTCAGATTCAGATCTTCCGTTAAGTGAAAACAGACAGGGCCTTACCCCATGGCAAGGACTGTAAGACTCCAGGCTATTGTAGCAGCAGAAGCAGCAGATGGTAAGCTATCGATGTTCCAATGGCGAATGTGGTTAAGTCCAGAGAGAACAGATGCAACTCCAACCACACCTGCTATCAAAGCAAATACAACAAAGAATCCAGTGGCAGCATTTCCAATTGGGAAGTAAATTGGTGAGAAATGTGCTGGAAGATTCATTCCTGGACCTGTAATAAATCACACACACCATGATCAGTCTTTAACAAAAGACAATACTTAGTAAAAAGATGGAAGTACATTTAGTAGACTAAACTCTCTCCAACAACAAACTTAGTCAATGAAGTGAGTGAAAATTATTGTTCGATCAGGCTAACAGTTGTGGTGCATGCCAACTGACCTAGACACAACGGTTATAAAAACAAGAAAGATTTTGACAAGATGCTTACCAATGACAAAACCATTATCAATGGCAAAGTTCATAGCCCAACCACCAATACCTAAAACAACAACATACATGCAGAAATTAAGGACCAAAAGCAAAGATGCAACAGGTTTCATCTGCTCACTAGCCATTCTTGGTTCTTGAAAATGATAATGATAGTAAGGCTTGAAACCTCTTTTTGATGAAAACTGAATAAGTTTTTTTCTTTTTTTGTGTTGTAAAGGCTAAGAAGATTATGTTGTACAAATGCATGTGATGTCTGCAAGTTCTTTGAGGTCTTTATAAATACTTTAAAATCTCATAAGGTTTTTGTTCTTTTCTTGTAAGGCTGTTTGTTCTAAAAGGGAATACTTCTTAATCAAGGCAAAGAAGCAAAAAACCAAGATTCTTATCAAGGGAAGGAAGCAAACAACTAGATTCTTTCCTAGCTAAAGATATTTTAGTATATCTTTTGAGGTGGTGTACATTCTTTGATTTCAAAAGGAACATTCTTTGTTTCCAAATTTATGCATAATTATTATGTTTGAAATACAAAAATGGTCTCTTATGTTTGAGTTAGGTTAAAAAAAATCCACAATATATTATCTTGGACAATTTTGGTCTTCACCAAATACAAAGCTAACTCCATCTGTTAAATTTGATGGAAGTTTTGAAGAAGAAAAAAGGATATACTTTGTTTAGTATTTAACAGAGATCAGAAGTGTTTACTTTTAACAAATTTAACAACCAACTACTCAAACTTATATTTTAGGGATTACTTCAAATCTATCCTCAAATTACCAATTTTTTTTTTCATTATCTATAGAGTTGTTTAGTGTAATTTGGGAATTAGTACACAAGTACAATAACATACTCGGCCATTTTGTGAAATAGAGAGATTAATTCTGATAGATATTCGACTCAAATAAAACATCTCAAATCATATATGAAAATTATGAGGGGAAAGAAGTAGTAACAAGATCCAAATAATATGATAATTAAACCAAAGTAAAGAGTTATACCAAATTTGAACATTAAGATAACAAAATATTAATAATACGGAAAAGGGTCAAAAATACCCTTAAACTATCTGAAGTAGCTCAGATATACCCTTCAACTGTATTTTGGTTCAAAACTGTCCTTCCCGTCAAACTATTGGGTCAAAAGTGACCTTCTACTTAACGGAAATTGTTAAATGCCATATGGATGCCACATGAACGCCACATGGCACCCCAATAGATTTTCACTGCCACATAGACAAAAAAAAAAGGGGTCAAAAATACCCTTAAATTATCCGAAATAGCTAATATATATCCTTAAACTATATTTCGGCTCAAAACTACCCTTCCCGTCAAACTATTAGGTCAAAAGTGACCTTATTAGCGAAAGTTGTTAAATTTCACATGTGCCACATTGACTAAATCCCTAAATCTTAATTGCTTATTTTCCCCTCATTTCATTATTTTTCAGAAACGATTTCACCCCTCCCTCATTTCGCGGCTAAGGATTGACAGTTTTCTTCGTCGCTGGATTTCAATGTGGATATTTGTGGTTATAGGTTAGTAAACTTTTTTCTTATTTTATTGTGTTTACAACCATAAAAATCCACTTTGAAACTGAGCTCCACAGAAAGTTATGAAATCTTGGCCGCCAAATGATGGGAAAGTTGTGAAATTCTAACTATCATACTTTGAAATCGTAAACGCAATAAAATAAGAAAAAATATTTACTAACCCAACCATGAATATCCACTTTGAAACTCAACTCCCAAAAAAGCTACAAACTCTTAGCTGCAAAATTAGGGAAAAGTTGTAAAATCCTACCTATCATACTTTGAAATCGTAAACATAATAAAATAAGAAAAAAGTATTTACTATACAAGCATGAATATCCACTTTGAAACTCACCCACGAAGAAAAGTATCAAATCCCTAGCCGCGAAATGAGGGAGAACGAGTGAATATATCATATCTGAAATAATGAAATGAGGGGGGAAGTAATTAGGATTTAGGGATTTAGTCTATGTGGCAGTGGAACCTTATTGGCATACAATGTGACATTCACATGACATTCAACAACTTCTATTGATAAGAAGGGTATTTTTGATCCTATAGTTTGACGAAAAGGTATTGAGCCGAAATATAGTTCAACCATAAATATGAGTTATTTCGGATAGTTTAAGGATATTTTTGACTCTTTCTATTAAGTCTACGGGGCAATGGAATCCTATTGGCATGCAATGTGGCCTGCATATGATATTCACATGACATTTAACACCTTCCGTTAATAAGAAGGATACTTTTGACCCAATAGTATGATGGAAATGTTAGTTTTGAGCCGAAATAAAGTTTAAGTATATATATGAACTATTTCGAATAGTTTAAAGATATTTTTTATCCTTTTTCCTTAATAATATAATAAAGAGAAGGAGAGTGGAATGACGCTTGACTACCTACTAATTTTCGACTTTCACAATTTATGTACAGTCATTTACTCGATAAGTTATAGGTATATATTCAGTTTAATTATTTTTCACCCGATACTTATTCGGTCTATCTCTATTATCTCCTAATAGCACTATTGTGGTATGTCTTTTTCTTTTTTTCCCTCTTCTTTGAGGCAACCGTTGAAGCCTTCAAAATACCGTTAAAAACCATTTAGTGAACTTTCTTCACTGGCTTCTTCTCATGCCTAATTATGTTGTTCCCCGTTGCTATATCTCAAGATCTATAATTGGTTTAGCAAGATTCTACAGAGTAGCTAGCCCCACTTGCTATTCAATTCTATCTGAGCACCTAAAGAACCAACGAATTGATGAAGCTAAAGAGCTTTTTGAAAGAATCCCATCTCCAAATATCTATTTATGCACCAAAATGATAGCTGGGTATGCCGAAAATCTAAGGTTGAATGAGGCACTGCAGCTGTTTGACAAAATGCCTGTCAAAGATACGGTTATGTGGAACTTGATGATTAAAGGGTGTGTAGAGTGTGGGAATACGGAGATGGGTTTGAAGCTATTTGAAGAAATGACCCAAAGAAATGTAGTTTCGTACACAACGATGATTAGCGGGTATTTGAAGTTTGGAAAGGTTGAAGAGGCTGAGAGTTTGTTTTCGGAGATGCCACAAAGGGATGTGGCAGCTTGGAATGCTATGCTTTATGGGTATTTTGAGAATGGAAGAGTTGAAGAGGCTGTTAAGTTGTTTGAGCTAATGCCTTATAGGAATGTGATTTCGTGGACGTCGGTTATTAGTGGGCTTGATCAGCATGGGAGGAGTGATGAGGCTCTATTGATTTTCAAGAAGATGGTAAATTTCTTTATTGAACCTACTTCTAGTACTTTTGCTTCTGTTATTACAGCTTGTGCTAATGCAAGGGATTTAGGTCTAGGTAGTGAAATTCATGCCTGTGTTGTGAAGCTTGGTTATCAGTATGATACTTATGTCACTGCTTCACTAATCACATTGTATGCTAATTGCATGCGCATGAATGATTCTTCTAAGGTATTCAGCGAGAGGTTGCATATAAATATAGTTGTATGGACGTCTCTTTTGACAGGGTATGGTTTGAATTATAAGCACAAAGAAGCATTGAAAGTGTTTGGGGACATGATTAGGATTGGTCTACTTCCCAATCAATCTTCCTTCACTAGTGCCCTAAATTCATCCTGTGAAATGGAGTCTATTGATCTTGGCAAAGAGATTCATGGTGTAGCAGTCAAACTGGGATTGAACACTGATGCCTTTGTTGGCAATTCACTAGTTGTATTGTATTCAAAATGTGGAAATATAAACGATGGACTCATTGCATTCAAGGAGATCCCTGAAAAAAACACAGTTTCGTGGAACTCAACCATCGTTGGATGTGCACAACATGGATTTGGTAATTGGGCACTCACATTATTCGCCCAGATGGTTCGTTCAAGGGCTGATATGGATGATATTACATTTACTGGGTTACTTGCTGCTTGTAGCCATTCTGGCATGCTAGAGAAAGGAAGACGCTTATTTCAATATATCCCCCAAAGCTCATCCATTGAAGTGACACTTGAGCATTATAGTTGTATGGTAGATATCCTTTGCAGAAGTGGGAAGTTAAATGAAGCAGAGGATTTGGTGAAAAGCATGCCCATGAGACCAAATTTGTCAATATGGTTAGCTTTGCTTAGTGGTTGTAAGAAGCATTTAAACTTAGAACTGGCCGAAAGAGCTGCAGATAACATTTTTCATCTTGACCCAAACTGTAGTGCTGCTTATGTTTTGTTATCTAACATTTATGCCTTTTCTGGTAGATGGAATGATGTAGCAAGAGTTAGAGGAAATATGAGAAGAAGAGGAAACACCAAACAACCAGGATGCAGTTGGGTTAATCAGATGGGAATCCGGCATACATTTCTTTCTGGTGATACTTCACATCCTCTAAGTCGTAGGATATATGAAAAGCTGGAAATGTTGACGGAAAAGTTGAAGGAATATGGTTATGTCCCTGATCAAAGATATGCATTGCATGACGTAGAGGATGAACAGAAGGAAGTTCTACTGTCATATCATAGTGAGAGGCTTGCTATTTGCTTTGCATTAATTACAACACATGGTAGTGCTATTACAGTAATGAAGAACCTGCGCGTCTGTGGGGACTGTCACTCTGCCATCAAGCTCATAGCGAAAATTGTTGATCGTGAAATCATAGTAAGAGACTCTAGCCGCTTTCATCACTTCAGGGATGGCTTTTGTTCTTGTTCAGATTATTGGTAGCATTATCCTTTTGATAATAACTATGGAATGGTTAGTGGAACCTTGTAATTAGTTCACCAGAAGCAGGATCACATTTAACTTTAGGAAACTGCCAGAGTTGTATTGGGCCAATGCTTTGCACCAATATAGTAGGGTCGTCTTGATAATGCTACCAATGAAGAAATCAGATACTGGCATCCTCTGCCTCATATGTCTAGCAGCTGATCTTGAAGCCGTCTAAAATGTTTCTGATTATGATTGACCAAATATACTAGAAGTCGAAGCAATCACTAGATCTACTATTCTTGGAGTTAGAATTATTTGTCAGCGGCTGGTAGTTAATTGTGTAGTAGATGAAGTTTCCTAGTTTTTTAGCTAGGATCAGCAAATAGAGACCCCTGGTTTATTCTGGCATTAATCAGCATTAGATTTTCTAACAGTGATTGGAGCTTAAGTGATAGGAATCTTGTTCTCTGAGAGGGGGTTTGGGGGAGAAGAGATTAATAGAAAGTTGTCTAATAGAACATTCCTGCCAGTACAAACAGGAAATACTCAATATACACTAACAAGAAATTTTATCATAAATTTTGGAAACGATAGTTGTTTGTTTCGTGCCTCAGCCTTACCTGCATGGCTGCTGACACAAAAGAGACTCTCACTTGAAATATTCTGCTTAGCATTGAATATAAGGCCTTGAGCCATCGGCATTGCTATAGCTGATGTTGTCTTCGTGTTGTTACTGCTGAAGCACGAAATGCTTCCAATTATTAGTTTCTTGGCGTAAACAGAATTTGATTAATGATGCAAATTCTCTGTCGTGCATATTGAAATTGATGTGAAGGTGGATCTTTCTGTAATATTCAAGCACAATTCATGTTGCATTGATAAATACTTATCCACTCAAGAGTTCTCTAAAGTTAGAACAATGAAGGAAGGAACCATTTGTACTAAAATAGTTCTCCCTCCATCCCATATAAGTTGCAGCTGTTAAAGAAGTCAAAAAAGATTCGGAAAGCTCAAGAACAGTTGATGATTCACTGAAAACACTTCATCAAATATCAGACTAAAAAATTTGGAGGAATAATTAAGAATTTTCAATCGTTTATTCATAATGATCATTCTCATGGTATTGTGGAGTATTTTTTAGCGTCGTCATAATGTTCTCATTTAGAAGTTCTTACAAGCAAGTGAAGAGAATTATATTCATTTACTATACCAATTGTACATCAAGAATTACATTGCTACACATTTGCCAGTTGATTATGGATGAATTCTGTTGACAACCCTTACAACCAAGAAAGCTCATTCATCCTCCTGGCTACGCAACCTAGCAAGCTTGTTAGTTACTACGACATCAAGCTGGGACACTCTCTCAACTATTTCTTTCCTTTTCCTTGTGGATACATTATGTGCAATCTCAGCACAGTAAGTCCTGTGAATAAGCTAATGGTGATGTCACGAAGCGAAGCAAGGATGGAATAAGCAAACAAATTTTGCTCCCTTGCATCACATGTTGCGCATCAACAAAATATCAAGTTCACTTGCATTGTGCACAACAAACATCTTAAAGCCATCGGGTAGATAGTGGCGAGTCATCTTGTCAGAACCGTAGCCAATATTGGGCATTAAGACACATCCCTTGAACTTCCTTCCAACTCTGGAGTCAATACCCTTTGGTCTGCGCCAGTTTGTCAGTTGTCCGATAAATGAAAATTATTTCCACTAAGTAAACCTCGCACACATGACTTGGGCCAAGGCAAGTGAAACAAATCACATTCTTCACAAGGGTTGAGAGAAACATCAAACAAAAATGTCTATATAATCGAGTGAAGTGTTGAACACTACTAAATATACATAGAAAAGGTTGAAAGATAGGAGGGATGTAAGCAGGGTTAACAGTAACAGAAAGCTTATTGATACTGAAGCCAACTGTGTCGCAAGATCTGTTCTTTTGTTTAATTTCTGCCCATAAAACGAAACACCCAGCAACAAAGTAGTCTGGACATAAGATATACCATAGGCAACAAGATTTTAAACAAAAATTGAAGAATAGTACTGCACAAAGCATGTCTTAGATGCAATCCCAGCAGAAATATGGTGATATTCTTGTATTAATCACTGGTCAATCAGCAATTATGAAAAAAATCATCAGTGACTAAACACTTAAACCTTTAAACCAAATCACAATACAGATAAAATTGGGGAAACCAAAACCTCAAAGAATGATGAGACATGCTATAAGATCAGATGGTAGTGCATGTATTGTATTCATCGTCGAACCCTCGAGAATAGGTGGATACGCATCATCACACGTTCTTTTCACAACTCAATAAACAAGCTTAGCATCAAACAAGAAAGCTAAAACCACACAAATATACAATTTAATATTATTGTTTAGGAAGGATCAGAAACAATGAGTCAATCACCACCTTGCGAATCCAATAAATTGGATGCAACTTAAGACTGGGGCGACAATCACTGTCATCACTTTCCATTTCCAACACAAAAAAACAACAAAATAAGCACAACAAACAAGGGTAGATAAATTTAATAATGATGTTTAATAATAAACTACAAGATGCTGCTGAAAAATAATATATATTAGCATTGCAGAGATTTTTCATGCCACAAAATACAATCTCCTTTAACAGAAGACATGTAAGCAGGGTTAAAGTAACAGAAAGCTTATTTACAGAGAAGCAACTGTGTCGCAAGACCTGCTTTAAAGTTAGTTTCTGCCCGTAAAAACGAAACACCCAGCAACAGAGTAAAGTCTGGACATTAGATACCATAGGCAAAAAATAACGTGAAAGTAAACTGAAGTGATTAAAAACAAAAGAAGAAGAATGTGAAGGTAAACAAACTGAAGGAAGTGATTGAACACCAGAGGAGAATAATTGAGAATAATTAACAAATTTGTTCTTGATGCAACCTCAGCCGAAAGATGGTGATCTTTTATATTAATCACTGTCAAATCAGTAATTTGGGAAAAAATCATCATTGACTGCATCAATGATTAAAAACTTCAACACTTTTAAACCAAATCACAATACAGAAAAGTGGGGAACCCAAAACCTGTAAAAACCAAATAAGATATGCTATAAGATCAGATGGTAGTGCATGTTCTGAATTCATCATTGAACTCTACAGAATAGGTGGATAAGCATCCTCATATCTTATGAGCATATCGTCAACAAACAAGATTTAACATAAAGAGAATAGATAAGTCTGAAAATTTGCACAATATCAACATTATTGTTTAGGAAGAATCAGATATTCTGTGTCAATCACCACCTTGCATATCCAATAAATTGGACGCAACTTAAGACTGGGGCGACAATAACTCTCATCTAATATTAATGTGTAACACAAAAAAACATAATGGTTTCCACTATTTCCGAAAAATATAGTAAAATCGAAGCTAAAACCAAGAATATGATGTTTATAAATAATAGAATGTAAGCAGGGTTAAAGTAACAGAAAGCTTATTGTGATAATGAAGCAACTGTGTCGCAAGACCTGCACTAGAGTATAATTTCTGCCCGTAAAAACGAAACACCCAGCAACAGAGTAAAGTCTGGACATTAGATACCATAGGCAACAAATAATTTGATAGAAAACTGGAGGAAGTGATTAAAAACAAATGGAGAATACTGCATAAAATTGTTCTAGATGCAATCTCAGCCGAAAGATGGTGATCTTTTATATTAATCACTGTCATTCAGCAATTTGGGAAAAAATCATCATTGACTGCATCAGTGAATTAACACTGCAGAACTTATAAAACAAACCACAATACAGATTTAAGTAGGCGAAATATGCCATAAGATCAGATGGTAGTGCATGTATTTGAATTCATCATTGAACCCTACAGAAAAGGTGGATACACATCATCACACCATATAGCATGTCGCCATAAACAAGCTTAGCATCAAAAAACAAAATAAAACCAAAACCAAACAAGTATAAAACAAACATTACTGTTTAGAAAGAATCAGATATAATGAGTCAATCACCACCTTGCAAATCCAATAAATTGGATGCAACTTAAGACTGGGGCGACATGAACTATCATCATTTTTCCATTTTTAACAAACAAAAATAGTATAGATAATACTAATAGTAAGCAAAGAAACAAATTTGAATCCTAATGTTCAAGAAACTGAACAAAACCACAAAAAAAAGAAGGTACAAACCCAAGACCTTAAAAGGATGACAAATGCTATAAGATCAGATGGTAGTGCATGTTTTGAATTCATCATTGAACTCTACAGAATACGTGGATAAGCATCCTCACATCTTATAAGCACATTGTCCACAAATAAAATTTAACATCAAAAGGAAAACGCTAAAACCAAACAAAAAAAAGTTCCAAATTATTTGTTCAAGAAGAATCAGATATGATGTGTCAATCACCACCTTGCGAATCCAATAAATTGGATGCAAATTAAGACTGGGGCGACAATAACTCTCATCATTTTCCCTCTCGAACACAAAAAACCCAACAAAATCCAATTTTTTTGTCAACCCATAAAGAGACGAGCTTTTTTCACTATTACCCAATAGAGCTTAATGCAAAAGAGGGGTTTCAAGAAATAAAAAAACAATACCTTAACAGTGATTCTCCTATCACTCTGATGCCTCTTGAATTGCTTCACCCTTTTCTTGATAACTTTCTTTTTCAGTAGAGGAATCGCCATTGTAACTCTACTTCACCTTCGATTACAAAAGAACAAACATTGTGTACAGAAATTAAACATTGAAAAGAACAAACAAAGGAAAAAGGGGCTCACTGTGAATTAGGGTTTCTTCAGATCCGCAGTGGCTGATGGGTTACTGGAGACTTATAGTAGGGTTTATATAGGAAGAAGATGAGCATTTGCTAGGGTTTTACAGCCGTCAGGCGATATAAAGAAAACAATCTACGGCTGTAGAAAGTTACTTGACAAAACTGACGGTCCTGATTGATCAAGCTTGGATAATATGATCAAACTCCAGTTTAGTCCTATAAGTTTTATTTTAATTTGCTAGGTACCTTCCAAGTTTTTATTCAGTCAAGGAAAAGTTCTCAAGTTTCATACACTTATTCGAAGATCGATATAGTTTAGTTATTTAATTAGTCTTATTTTCTCGTGGATATTATGTTTTGCACTGGGCCATCTAGCTTAAGACTAGTCACGAGAATTATGGACCTTCGTATAGTGATTATGGTTGATATTCTTTGACGGTTGCCAATCGAATCTATTTTTTATTGTAAGATTGTTTGTAAACCCTGGTATCATCTTTTAACTTCCACCTTTGATTTTGTAAAATATATTACAAAAGATCATTTTATTTTCCAAGCATTTTGCTTTCGATAAATCACTTAGACCGATTACTCGTAGAACTCAAGATGTTTCTCATCCCCTAAACATAACCATTGTGTTGAGCCCTAGGTTTCACCTACCCCAACTTTATACACACAAAACTTGACATTAGTTAGTTCATGTAATGGGTTCAATTGTTTGATTAATGGTTCGAGCGATACCATAGAGCATTTGATTTACATTTGCAATCCTCTTTTGGGTGAATTTCGAGGTTAAATTGTCCGAATGAGAGAAAAGAATTTAGCGTGTTGCCTATGCATTCCGCTTCAGTTAAACCTCTGGACTGTATAAAGTATTGAGATCAGTAGTTAGTAAGTTTGAGGGGCGTCCACATGTATCAGAGTTAGAGGTTTATACTCTTGGACTGGATGAGAAATGGAGAAATATGGGTGATGTTCCAGAACCTCTATGCGAATTATTTTGTAAGGCTAATGTCAATGGTGTTGTTCATTGGATGAATACGAAAAAATGCCAACATTTACTTTTTTAACAGTTGGACAGAGAGGTGAAATCCATATTAGCTCCACGTGGTGTGACGACTTCATCCTGCGATTTGACACTAGCAGAGTTGGGGAATTGTCTATGTCTAAGTGATACTATGAATTTGTTGATATATGGTGGAGGAAAGAGTATGGAATCGCTGAATATTGGACTAAAGATCGCATTTGGAAGGACGCTATTCAACCAGATATCAATTTGTGATAGATTTATACCAATCTCAACTTGAAAATATGAAGAAATATTGATGCAACAAAAATCGTGATACACACATTTCGTTTCTTACAACCTAAAAGAAAAGAAGTTTACGAAGGTCAAAATATATCTTGAATTTGCAGTTACTAGCTACATCCCAATTTTTACTCACTCAAGAATGTCATTGGGGAAGTTAACAAGTCTCATTCATAAGAATAAGATAGTTTAAATATTTAATTTGCCTTATTCCCCGTTGGATATTATGTTTGCTTTTATGTGTCATGTAGCTCGAGACCTATCAATTTTCATTGTTTTATGAATGCTTTTGAGTTATAATATGTCAACTTTTACTGTTTAATAGATGTTTTTGAGTTTTGGTATGTTAGTTTTTGTTGTTTAATAGATGTTTTTGATTAATGGTAATACAATTTTTTTTTTATACTACGATAAAAATAATTTTTAATAACAATAAATAGACACATTAATTAGGTGTCATTAAATTTAATATCGTTTAAAATTGTAGTAATATATACAAGAATCCTAATTGCCGTTGCCGCTAACAATACATATTTAGCGACAATAAGTTATTGAATTGCGAAGTCTCGAAAATTGCATTCCTTTCGTTCAAATTTATTTTGCTCTTGTATGAATACAACGAACTAATGAGCACAATATTGGCCTATCAGTAAAAAATAATAGGAACAGAAATATTGGCCTATTAGTAATAGTTTCTTTAGGTATTAAAAATTGTTGTGTTACTCTTTAAAACAAATAAGGCGCAATTAGTACTCTCTTTGTCCGGTATAATCTTTTATGGTTTATATTTGTAGAGTTAAATTATAAAAACTTTGACTAATATGTTAAGATGTATTTTTTCATCATATAAATATGCAAAAAATTATAATTTATAGAACTTTTCATATAGTTTTAGAATATTCAATAATTTTGTTTAAAATGTTAAATTAATTTAATCTAATTCACCTTTGAAAATTAATCAAATTAACTTTTGATAAGCATAACATGACAAATAAAATTCGGACGAAGAGAGTATTGAATAAGGAATGACAATTAATAGCCCTTATAAGATGTATTGTAATTTCTGCTCCTAATTCCTTTTTTTTCTGCCCAAACATACGTCATCTCTCTAAGTTGTGAATAGTGATATATGTTTAACTAGTAAAATTAATCAGAAAATTTATAAAATTATACTGGGAATAACACTTAATATCTATCGATCATTAAAATTAAAACAATATATTATCTTACATATAAGATTAAGTAATAAATATTAATAACGCAAAGAAAATTATTACATCTTATCATTTATCTTTAATAACATAAATATAAATAAATGACTATAAAAATAAATATTAGGACCTATAATATACACAATGGTGTCAGTGTGATATTCAACAGGAGTAAAGTACACAAATATTTAATTATTTAATAACATAAGAATAAATAAATGACTATAAAAATACATACCAGATCTGTAACATAAGTAATGGTGTTCGTGAGCAACTCAACAGGAGCAAAGCACACAAATATTCGATTGTGAAGAAGAAGAAGAAGAGGATCAAAATTTTGTTGTTTTAAAATGAGAAGAAATATCTATTTATATACAACAAAGGGTTGTTTGAACAGATGATTATTGTGCTTTATCGAAAATGTTACAACTATTTCGAAAAGTTGCAACCCTTTAGAAAGATCACAATTTTTTATAAAAATAACAACTCTTCATTAAAGTCGCAACTTTTCGTACATATCATAACTTTTCATGAAAGTGAAAGGCTAATTTTATAAAAAAAAAAAATTAAAATGAGATTCTGATTTGTGATGGTTTCACATAGGCGAGTCTAATATTCACTTTTATATATGATATATTGATCTGTAAGTTTTCCATAAGTCCAATAAAATATGAAATCTTTTAAATTTAAATGAGGTAATCATGTATGCTTTTTTCCAACGTATAAGCAATTTCATTAATTAAAATAAAAATATTTAAAATTCAATCTGAAAAATCACATCTAAGGGAAAAAGATAAATTTGAACTTATGTTTTGTTGGTGATTAGTGTTTTTAAGTATCATACTTATTTGTTGATCTTGAAAGAACAATTTTTCTTCCTGATTTGTATTGTAAGTACTAATGTAACATATCGATGAGTACTAAGTGACTTCATTCATCTCGTTCATGAGGGAAACCGCCCACGATAAACAACTACACTTCAGTCCCGAACATTATCAGGATTTGCAATATAAATCTTCTATAATCATTATTTTGCCCTTCTTTTTTTGAAAAAACCTGGTATCGTCCTGTTAGGTTTTATTTGCCCTTAACTTCTTATCATAAATAAGTTTTTCTTTTAGGAAAAAGTTTTGGATTGACTAATCTTTTTTCTGATAGGAAAAATGTTCAAAGAATCTATAAATAGAGACATGTTCATTCTAACTTAATCAACATTCACAATGTAGTCCTGAAGACTTTGAGAGTTTTGGTTAGGGGGAGAATTTATGGGTCACAAGTTTGATACGTTATCACTTGTGTGAACCTCCATGTATTCCGAGTGAATTGGTTGAGATTGTTTCTCTCTGTATTTTGTACTCTCATATTTATAGTGGATTGCTCATCTCCTTTGTCGACGTAGACCGATTGACCGAACCACGTTAAATTTTTGTGTCTTTTAGTATATTTTTCGTTGTCTTCTTACTCGTGATCTTTCGAGGTTTTCTTTCCTAGCTTCCGCATTTACACCTACTTACTTTCGGTCCTAACACGTTTTTAATTAGTTCTACTAGATACCTGTCACATCTCACCCATACGAGTCTGGGTAAGCTTGAACATATAGGAATATGATTTCAGCTTTTCTTCTGCTAGCATTTGTAAATTAGTTAACCAGTTCAAACTCCAATTAGAAAAAAACTTTATATGAATACACAGTTCCTCACAAGGTCAATGACCAAAAATGGAAGTAGAAAATTTAAAATGAAGTTGAAACATTAATAAGGAAACAGAAGAAAAAGAAAAGAAGGGTGTGATATTAAGAACAAAGATACTGGTGTTATTATAACATCTTCTATGCTTTTGAGGCTAAGTTGGAGTCATATACATGTATGCAGATATCAATATCATGCAGTAATGTCTACCAGACAAACCTTACTAGGAGGACAAGAGTTCAAGCAGCTATATATCGATGAATGGAACTCATACGAGCTGGGTGAGGAGGGGATGACATCAACCCATTCT